TGTGTGTGTGTGTGTGTGTGTGTGTGTGTGTGTGTGTGTGTGTGTGTTCACCTACATGTGGGGACCCATGTTTATATGGGTGGAGGCCATATGCCTTACCTTAGGTATCTTCAGTCTTTTTTCCACGTTATTTATTGAGGCGAGGCCTCTAACTTAAACCCAGAACTCCCCGATTTGGCCAGTCTACCATGCCAGCTGGCCCTAGGGATCCTCCGTCTCCACATTCCAAGTGCCAAGGTTACAGGCAGCTGTTAAGACACCCCAACATTTCCGAGGTTCCTGGAGACCTGAGCCAAGCTTGCCGCACTCACAAGTCGAATGCTTCACCAGCTGACCCATTTCCCCGCCGCACATCTGCATTTCTTAATGGTGGCTGACATTTGCTGGATTCCTCCAAGGAAAGACACAAACCTCGGTTTATCCAAGATATTGTGACCAGTGGGGAAGGCTAAGCTCCTCTACTCCCCGAGGAAGGAAAAGAGGGTTAGGATACCTAACACGACCACTGTAGTCATGAGGGGCACTTTCATCACAAGTGGAGAAGGCTTCGGTGGGCACTGGGAAAGCAGAGTTCTAGGAAGAGAGATGGCAAGACAGAAAGGGCTGGGATGCTTGAGGACCACTGGACCACCCACCTTTGGTGGTCTACCTCCCTAGATGAACGGATGCTTAGCATGCTTAACAAATGAGTCAGGCCTCCCTCACTTCTGCTTTAAAGATGGAGTCCTACTATGTATGTAGCCCAGCCCTGTCTCAAACTCACTACATACCCAAGCTGTCTTTGAACTTGCTGTCTTCTTGTCTCAGCCTCCCTAGTGCTGGGATTGTAAGTGTGTACCACCATACAAAGTTTCTCTTTTGCTTTTGTATCCTAGGTAGCCAGGCTGGTTAAGTAGCAAGCATGCATGGAGTCAGAATCATTGGCTATTGTAACTGAGGCTCTTTAAGGATTATGATAACTTCACTTAGTCAAGAAAACCAGGCACAGAAAAGGAAGACCTCACATCAAGGGTCACAGCAAGAATTTTGATCAGGGAGATCACTTTACTCCTGAGTTTCTAGCATGATCCAGGCCCTCAAAGCATTTGCAGCTAAGTTCGAACACTATACCATGAACAGCGTAGAAAGAAATACCAAAAGGCATTAAAGTTTTGGCCAATAAATGACGTTATTCTAGGACTTAGAGAAGAACATGGCTGAGATGGCACGTTGCTCTCTGGAGGCACTATGTGGAGGTCGTCAGCCTTGCTGTCTGTGTTAGGGTTTTTATTGCTGTGAAAAGACACCATGACCATGGCAAGTCATATAAAGGAAAATATTTAACTGGGCCTGGGTTACAGTTCAGAGGTTTAGCCCATTATCTATTATCGTCATGGTGGGAAGCATGGTGGCACACAGGCAGACATGGTGATGGAGAAGGAACTGAGAGTTCTATATCGGAATCAGCAGGCAGCAGGAAGAGACAATGCCATACCGGGCCTGGCTTGAGCATCTGAGACCTCAAAGCCCACCCCCAATGGCACACTTCCTCCAACAAGGCCACACCTACTCCAACAAGGCCACACCTCTTAACAGTCACACTCCCTGAGCCTATGGGGGCTATTTCATTCAGACAACCAGACTTGTTGAGCAGTTGAGCTGGAGATAAGTATCCTGGGTGTCTCAAGAGCCCCAGCCTTCTCAATGGGATGTCAGGGCTCCTCTGTTTGGAAAGAGCTGTCTTTCTTGACGTGACCGTCTCTAGAGTTTGTGAGGGCTGCTGTATCACAGTATCACAAACTGAATGGCTTCAGCAACAGAAGGTGGCTGCTCCACAGTCTGGAGGCTGGATTTCTGAGACCAGGTGTCAGGAGGGGTGGGTCCTCCTGAGGGCAGTGTAGGAGTCTGCTCCAGGATTCTTTCTGAGACTCTGGTGGCTTCCTGGCAATCTTTTATTTTCTTTGGCTTATGAAAACATTGTTTCCCTCTCTTTTTCCTCAAGAAATCTCTCTCTCTCTCTCTCTCTCTCTCTCTCTCTCTCTCTCTCTCTCTCTCTCTCTCGTGTGTGTGTGTG